AAAATATTTTCTAAGAAGTTATGTTTTCTAAGACGACTCAAATTATAGCCGTGATTTAAATTATTTTTAGAAATGCTCAAACTTACAACAACAAAAATTATAACCTTTAAAAGTGTGTCCTTTCAAAATGAATGTCGCACTACTTGGCTTCAATTGAAGAAAAATATTTTTTTTATTTATTACAATAAAAATAAATTTATACTTTGCCAAAAACAAAATAAGATCACCGTCCTTCTCTATTTCTTCGTCGACATATTAATTATTACACTTAATTGTAAGATGGTTAAATTCATCGCTATATTTTTATACTTAATTTTAAATAAAGATTAATGTTAGGACTTTAAGGAGGTGATATAACGCGATACGAAGTATAGATTGCACAAACAAATAAACAAGAACAAGATTTAAAAGAAAAAAAAACAAAAAGACGAAATTGGCTGAGGAACCAAATATTTTTATTAATGACAACCAATGGAGAGAAAATACAACTCCTGTCTTTTATGTTATTCTACTGCACACAAAACTGAACGGAGAATCTACTATTTATAGGAGACATGTCCAAACCTTAGAATTAACCTAAAATATGGAAAATAGGTTAAAAATCGCGTAAAATCGAAAAAGAAGGAATTCGCTCGAGAGATAAGCGGGCGACAGCCTGTCACTCGAGCGACATCTTAGCGACAGGCGGCTGATGAACTCCCTGTTCCAATTTTGCTCCTCTCGCTTAAGCGATAAGCGGACGTCCGTCCAGCACCGTCAAACCGACTTTTTCCTTCTTGGACCCTATTTTGACATCTTCAAGCTCAATACTCCACAATGCTAATATGTCTCACAGGCTCAACCTTAGTGGTTCCTTCATTTACGTTTTAAACCTACTTACATCCTACAATGTATTTATCCTCAGGTTTAGACACTAGTTCCCAAATTTGATTATTATCAAGGGAACTCATCTCGTCTCTCATAACTGATGCTGAGCAGAATAGTGATTATTCTGCAGGCTGGAACCAATAGACAATAATAGAGAAGAGCGCAAGAGAATAACACTACGAAAAACTAGAAAATCTTTATTACTCAACAACTGAATGAAAATAATCCACAAGCCGGGTTAAATAGCTAGAAAATAATAATTTTCGGAATTTTACCAAAAATAGCAAAATCATATTATTCATACCAAAATGAAATACGTAATGACGGAAATAAGATCCCAAAAATCTGGCTTAATTTAAGATCGTAATCTATGTCAAAAAGGAAATTGAAATATTACTAAAAATGGCAAAAAATAACTTAAATTGATGATTCGAAAGGGAAAATAGCTGAATTTGGCCTCTAAACAGATACACACCGAGCATAGCTGGGTAACCACGACGTGCGCGCCAAAAAGAACTTTTCGAATTGGGGTCATGGGCGTGATTTTGACAACCGTAGCCAAAGTTATGGCCAAAATACCAAAACATGTCCAAAAAGGCCACAATTAGGAAAGGTCGATGATTATTGCGTTGATCCGCCAACTTATGGTATCTCAGCGCCATTAACGTACTATCGACAGCTCGGCTTCGTCTGACTCGAATCCTCCTGCATCAATAACACTCATCCATTCCTTAATTTTTTCATTCTTCATAGACTTCTCATATGTATTTGGTTCTTTATCAACTAGTTCCTGATAAGTGATAACTAGCATAGGCTTTAGTATAGTTAAGCATCCTTTGAGGTTCCCTACCTAGTCTTCTATCTCTCTCTCTCTTTAGCCAATTGGTAGTCAACTAGAGGGTTATGGTCAGCAAAATGTTCCTCAATCACATCATCTTCTCTTTCTAACTATATGTCTTGATGATTTGGCTGTGAATTATTCTCCACCTCACTCGGGGTAACAGGATGGGAATGCTCACTCTCTCCGCCTGAATCTGAGACTCACCACTAAAAATCTCTTGCTATTTTTCACTCTCTAAGCAAGGCTTCTTCGACTCATTAAAGGTGACTTCCCTACTGATGATTATTTTTACACCCTTTTGGCTTCTATCCTACATTCTATAACCCATTACTCTCTCATGGTAGCCTAGAAAGATACATTTTCTAACTCTAGGTTCAAACTTTTTCTCACTCTAATGAAAAAAGGCAGAACCAAAGATTTTAAGCATGTGTTCACGATAGAAATTTGATCAACAAGTGCTCTTACCTTGCTATGATTTTTGCCTTATAAACTCACTAGTTTTGATACTCAAACTGGAGCAAGTGGAGAACTAGCTATTTTGAGAGGAAGATATTTGAATTGCATGCTCTTTTCTTCGAAAGTGGGGGTATTTATAGATTTTCCATACGACCTTGGAATAGTTCGGTCATTTGGAGAGGATGACAGACGATCGTTCTTTATTGGATAGCTCCTAATGGATTCTGTTAAGAGTATCATGTTTTACTCATTGAACATCATATATATACTTTATTAACAGCTTTTAGCAAGGCTGGATGAAGATTGGGTTCCCTTCACTATTACTTACGATTGAGAGATAGCGGGAAGAGTTCGCAGCTATTCATTCCTTGGTTCAACAAATAGTATCCGAAGTCCGATTTTATTATTCATATTAATCTAGTACACTTGTGTTATTTCACATGTGGGGGACAGTTTGATCAAGAAAAGAGAGTACTTTGATGCTGATTTGTTGACAAAAAATACTGGGTCTGAGAGGGTTTCAATTTGTGGTGGCGGCAACGTCGGTTTCAGTGTAAGTTCCGGGATGGTATCTAATTCTTTGGTGAGTCGTGGTGGCGATACGGATGCTTTTCGGACTAATGATTTTCTGAATTCTTGCTTTCTTTGCGAGAAGATGCTTCAAGGATTGGATATTTTCATGTACAGGTAAAATACAGTTTTGGATGTTTACTCTTTGAATTCTTTTTCACTGCACTTTTGTTTTGATTCATTTGGTTTGGAGGTTTATTTTGGTTGATTAGTATGTTGATTTTGAATTGTCTGTTTGGTCACGGGTGGCGTGTCGTAAAATGTTTAACCTACGCTCCTAGGACACCAATTGGATATCACATGGATCCTAACAAGTGGTATGGATCATGGGTTCGAATCACAAAAGCGCAATGTTGCTCTTAAGCCCATCAGTTGGGTCAATGGTCAAATGCTATAAAAGGTTTTACATGTACTAACTAGACACCAATTGTTTTCAGACGACATAGTTGAAACCCGATCCTAACACTTTGATTTCAAATGGTTATGTTATAGTTTATATGAGATTTTGAAGGTGAAATCTAAATGCTAAGTGGTGAATAGAGTGTAGTTAGCTGAATCATTTGTCGTTGTTATTTTCAGGTATTCATAAAATGTAATTAGCAAAGTTCATTCGATTGCTTTAATGTAGTAGTGGCTTTAATTTTCATGGTGTATGAAAATGAATATAGCACTATGCAACCCAAGATCATTATAAGCTTCTGCTTGTAGGCATGGTGATATTTTCTGATAATCTAACGGGGATTATGGAATCAATTACATTGATCCAGTGACCATGCTTTATGAGCTTATTGGTATTGATCTCGCTAAGACTTGTTCAGATCGTGGTTGTCGCTAGACGTGACTTTCTTTTTTTATATTATCTTATGGTGTCTTTGCATTTCCACTATATTGTTTATTAAGGCTATATTATGGTGAAATACCGACTTTCTTTCGACTTATGAGGAGAATTATATTTATCATCTTATATTACTTCTTGGCAACAGGGGAGAGAAGGCATTTTGTAGTGTAGAGTGTCGCTTCAAGTGAATTTCCGTTGACGAATACAAAGAGAAGTTTGGCGCTGGCATGAGGAACCCAATGGAGTACTCCGCCTCTCCTTGCTCTAGTACAATGCCGTTTCATGCCAGTGCAATGGAGTACTCCACCTCGCCTTGCTCTAATACAATGCAGTTTTTTGTGCAGCCTGGGTAGTTTTGTCATCTTTTACATATATAAATGAATACGAGGATGTTAGAAAAGGGTTATAATGTGAATACCGAATAAAATTGTGATTTGCATCACAAATAAGAAAAAAACGATTTATTGGGTGTTACATTTGAGCAAATTATCTTGGAATTTGGAGTGCATATGGTAGTTCTTGCAAGGTGATAGATAATTTCCGGGAGCTTTGGCAAGTTTCTTCACCCTTTCACGTGGCATCGTCGTGAATTTCCTCTCTTTAAAAGTCAGACTTTGGGTTACCAACTTATTTAAACTGGTGAATGACTGAAATCAACTATGTAGATGTTCAAATTGAGCATGACTAGCCGCTAGAGCATTTGCAATTTGACCATTCAAAATTTACAATTTTCATCATGTGAGACCATAAACTTCACTTTTAAAGGTAGGAGAGCGCATCCTTAATTTGCCCAAAGAAGTGTTTCATAGGGTGAAAATTCCATGGACTTTTCAGGTGTTTGATAGGGTTAATTTTCTTAGCAAAACCTTTTCCCACCTCCCTCCTCACGTTCACATTTTCAAGGTTTTTGTGGAAAACATTTTCCCTCATGAGTAGTGGGAAGAGGTTTTCCAGGTTCTGATTATTTATTTATTTATTATTTTATTTATTTTTTTTTTTGTGAAATGGAAACAAATTTTATCACTAATTGTAAAAAAAATTCCTTTAATGAATAATTTTCATAAAAAATAAAGCCAAACAAACACCAAAAGATCCAAAATTTAAATATTTTCCACGTGAAAAATTATACTAATCAAACACAATTAATTACAATTTACAATAAACAATTTCTAGGCAATTCAATTTCCTAGAATTCATTTTATTTCCACATATTTTCCACATTTACAATCAAACAAACCCTAATACAAGTTTAAAAGAATTTTCTTTTCCCCATTACTCTCCTGTTAGCTATGTACACAATGTTAAATTATAAAATAGAACAGGAAATGAAAGACACGGGTGCTAATAAAAATTCTTCAAAAACTAGGGTGAAAAACACTATAGAGGCTAATGGTAAGTATTCAAGAAGCTAATCTGTAGTCTACAATTTCAGAGATACAGTGAATTTGCAAACATTATCCCTCGGCGAAGGCTTCCACTAGCTGCTGCAAATTTGTTCTCTAAATCAGCTTCCCCGACCACATGAGCAGCAGCTTTCAACTGGAAACCAAAAAAAGAAGATAATAAACTGAAGATGGGTATATGATCCCAGTCTTGAAACAAACTTTTAAGTGCAGGTTTGGTAGTTGGTATGGAGTATTAGGTCGAACCAACAGTACAGTATACAACATTTAAGATTTTTTTTCTTTTTATTACTGTTAACAACTGTCACCTTCCCAGAGGTGCTACAAGTATTATCTATTTGGCATGCATGAATATTATGATAAAAGAGAAACGGCATTTCGGAGTTGTCCAGCCCTCTGTTGGCCACTTGGCCTGAAGTAGAGAACCTACATTATATCTTCATAGAAAGAGGGCAAAATATTCCAGAAGTAAAGGCATCCAACAATTCATGCATCCTATCCTAACATTTGCTAGAAAGGCTCGATGATTATATTTTAATCATTAATTGCATGTTGGTCACCCTATAGGAAAAGGCTCCATCATGCCTGTTTTGTTCACCTATTTATGAACTCTAGCTCGAATGAAAAATTCATTCGATTTATGAAAATCGATTGGATTACCTGGTTTAAAAATTCATCAAGCCTTCTAACTAGTCGTATAATGCTACCTTCAAGGATGTCTGTCTCTTCTGTAACATCTTTAAAAGATTTTCCCTGAAAAAAAAGAGTTTAGACAAGATCTATACCAACATATTTAAAAAGATGCATCGACTCAAAACCAAGCAATCGACCTAAGTCGCTTTTACAAATAAAATTTCTTAAAGTTCCATTTGACCAAGAATATCAATTATATCCCAAGTGATAAATTTAGAGCATCAAATAAGAAAAGAGTATAGTTTAACATGCCATCTACTGAAAAAACACAAGTCACCAAATCGACCTCTGACCACATGTGGATCACATTCATCAAGTATGGTCTGACTGCTGCCTCCACATATTCCTCCACATTTACTTCAAGTCCACATTCACGTTGTATCTGTGACAAATTTTTCAAGTTATCATTTACCTTGCTCCGAAATACTTCTTTTTTTCGGTTTGCAGATTGCCAATATAGATAACAAAATTAGATCTATACACACATATATGAGCATGTGTAAAAAGCTGAACACACCTCTGCTATTCTTCTAGCGCTGTCTTGAAGCTGTTGCAGTGGTTTAACAAGTACTGCTGTTACATCTATTTTCCCTGATTTGTCTCCTGGAATGAAGCAACTTGTCAGAGCAGCGACTTGATGCTGATCAAGATCATTGAAGGTACCTGCAAAAAAATTATGTGAATGTGATGATAAACTAACGTTCGATATTGGGACTGGTCCATAACATGCAATTTCCATCTGGGAAAATTAAACACTCTGCTCTACACATCTGTGTGTGGAAAAGAAAGAAATGACAGCAGACATAAGTTTGAAAAATCAATGATAGAGGGTTCACCATTGAACATCAATTCAGTAACAAGGAGCTCATCTCCTGTATCTATCAAACAGGCTGCTCGCCCTTTCAACTGAACAACACCATCAGCATCAATGTGCCCCAGCTTTTTCAGTACCCGTGAGCGGTTCCTAAGTTCAACGCGAAATTTTTGAAGCTGAATATAGACAAGAGGTAGCAATTGAGTGAGGACCAAAGAAAGCATACACGTAGACAGCAGCTAATTAGCAGTTATACGGACATGTATATTTCTGTGCATGTGTACATGTACATGCATTTAGAGAAGCATCCAACAAACAACAAATACCTGTGAATCACGCATTTTCGACTTTAGCTGTTGAATTTCATGAATCACTTCTGATTTTCTGTGGAAACTTCTAATCTGATGTTCATCTTGAGACTGCATAGCATAAATGTGAATAAAATAAAACTAAACAACATCATATACACCCTCACACGTTTAAAAAATCATACTAACCTCCCCAATTTCTAGTTTTGAGTATCATATTCACCTTCACCATTTTTTGAGTCATATCTAATCTCAAATGAGGTTGATACACCTAACTGTCCTTGTGAACTAAAGATGGAATTTTCTACACTTGCAATTTAATTTGTTCCCTTTAATAATAAGAACACTTTTTTGGTGCGTACACAATTCTAAATATGCATGCTAGTGGAAATTTCAACTTAAAATTTGTTGAAGAATTTGGTAACAAATGGTACTTTTATCAAAATCTACTAAAACTCTAATTTATAACAAAACCAAACAGGGGCAATTGATAATTTTTTTTCAGACCTTATGCAATGGATGAGAAAATAATTTATGTTCAAGTTCCTCAATCTGGTTAACGAGCTTAACAACTTCTGGTTCTTCAATTCCCATGTCCTGACAAAAGGTACAAACATTAGAAATATATATCGTCATTCCTCGGTAAAGATGTCAACACAGGTTCATTGATATTGAAAATTATGAAAAACCGCATGTGGACCTATGGAAAAACATTCTGCCCTCTGGTTCTGGATGGGCAAATGTAAAAGCATGTTATATACATAAAATTTTAATCCTAGTTGGTCTCTGTCCAAAGAGGAAAGATTAAAGAAATTCAAATCATAGAGACCATGAAATGGACTGAGGGGGATGGTGATGATAGTTGAGCTGATGTTGCCTCTAGCCGATAATAACAAATAATTATATGACTGATAACCAACTTTTTCCTGCCTCTTACTACTGTTCCATTTTTTTTGTCTTGGTAATTGGTATGATGTACTTCTACATTTTAGTCTTAACTATGTTTATGAAAATATTTGATTTTAGGAAAATAATGAACAAACAAAGACAAGTTTGAATAGTTGCATCAATTTTGTTGCTTACTTGGATGCTATGGTTGACACTTCAACAAAAAATAAAAATGAAAAGGAGTTCCATTGCTGGATATCATATATCAACAGCCTTAATAATTTCACTATGGTACCAAAATCCGGGGTACAAGTCAACTGTTGTACCGTGATACTAACATGGTTCATAACTTCATACAAATTAATTAGGGATTAAAAAGGAGGATGCTTTACAACATCAGGCTAACCTGAATATAACAATGAGCAACGATCTACACCAAATCAATATAAGAAAATAGCGTCAATTAGGATAGGCTCATTATCAATGTAAGAATGACATACCTTCATAGGATTAAGCTTCGGAAAGCCCTGCTGAAAACGTTTTTCAAGCTCCTGTACAGCAAGCAGAACACACTGTCTAGCTTCCGTTGGACGTAAATCAGAAGGAACAGCAATCCTGAGCTTGCTGAGTGCAGAAATAAGAGGCAACTGAACAGGAACCTGACAAAAAAACCAATGTATATTGACTTCTAAAGGGCATATATCTAATTAATTTATAGGATCATACTCCAGTCAGACTAAATTTCAATGAACAATAAGCTTTATGTTGCAGAATTTTTTGCTCAATATGTTATCAACTTACCACATGCATTTCCCCCTTTTCTCCAGGACGAGGAGGACATTGTTTGGGTTGAGAACCATTATCACTCAAGCCAAAAGAGCAGTGAAGCAAAGTGTCCACAATATAACTACTACCACGGGAAGAAGCAATTGCAGCAGGCAAAGAGCCCAATGCAGCCGAGGGCTTTTTCACCACATGGACTACAACTCCCCAACCCCAATCTGTGCCACCTTCCCTTATTTTAACCTGCAGTTGCTCAGACTCAGAGAGTGCATAAAAGTAAAACCAGAAACAACACAGAAAAGTGAAACCAAAAACAACCCACAGGAGCGGGAGCAAAGGGATTTAAGCATCATTGCATCCAAATCAGTATATAAAACAGATTTATCCCAAAAATGACACCTTTCTTCCACACCACATAGAAGTAGAAGAGGAACGGCCAAGGTGGAAAAGAATCACAATGAACTCAGACAAACGCTTTTAGATCCCCTTTGAGTAATCATGCCTTATATTAACAGTGCGGCATACAACAGAAAACAATACACAGCAGAAATATAAGGGATATAGCAGGGACTCACAAATAAGGAAAGAGTGACATGCAAGCTGATCAAATGAACAGAAGTTGCAATAGAAAGCAATAGATGGGATTCACATTATCCTAGATCGAAGCATATATAATATATTCAAACACCTATTTTCTCACTTACCAGCCTACCAGGTTGAAGGAAATAGAGAACTCTTTCAGGCCGCATCATTTCTGCCATCATTTTCTTTTCAACTTGGGCTATCTCAAGCTGTAGCTTATGATATTCAGTAACCTCAGCCTTAAAATTAACATGAAAAATTTAGCACTTAAATCATATCTAAATAATGCATTGCAAGCACAACTAATCAGAATAACTAGACCTCTCCAGAAGAATCAAGCACTGCAGCCTCCTCTTCCAGCTTGGAGACCTTTTTCCCAATGTCAGGTAATGCCTAAGGAAAAAGTTTGCACATTATCAACCAAGATCCAAAAATTTGAAGATAAATAAGGAAAATTTTCAGGGAAAACCTTCTCATACTGAAACTGGTGAAAGGAATTTTTGATAACATGCTCCGCAGTAAATTGTCCCTCAGCACGGCTCAATAAGTTCAGGATTGAGTAGTAGCTTAGCCTGAAAGTACTGACCAACGGTGCTGGTTTACCCAGGACCATGTCCTTAAGGGTATTCATTTCCATCTGGTTTCAAAAAGAAACGTTCAGTTGCTAATGAAAAGTTAGTAAATCACATCTTCTAAGATACTTGGAATAGTGAAATTTCATGTCCTGGTGGTCAAATATGATTAGATGTAGGTTTGCAGCAATTGAAACATATGCATAATTCTTGATCTTGCAATAGCTCCAGTCCAGAGGATTACTTCAGTAGCAGCACTTGTTCATAAAACAGTAAGTTTTGGCATTTTGTCGACATTCTTATCTATCTTGCCTTTTCCGGTCCATATTTAATAACGGGAGTTTAAGGAACAGCAGTTATTTAGCAATGTAGTCTTGATAAGACTGAATGTACAGAGGCCAAGTTAGGCATTACATTTTATTCCATAACTTCATCAACAAGAAGACAATTTCCAAATAAATACTGGCTACTGCCAAATGGTTACAAGATATGGAAAGTAACTCACTATCAGATACATTTTCCAAGGAAAATTTACTCTAAAATTTTATTTTTTTCCTTATAGCTAAACTGAGATAAATGGTGCCAGCAATAAAATTACCTTTTCATCAATCATTATAATACAAATACCCCGCTCATCTTTACCACGGCGTCCAGCTCTACCACTCATCTATTAGAAAGAACCATATCAAAAAATCATAAACAGAAAGTAGGTGTAATGTGTATCTCTATTTTTAGTAATAATGTTGTAACAACTACTCACCTGGATATACTCGCCAGATCCAATACATCGATGACTATCACCATCCCATTTTTTCAAACTTGTGAAAACCACAGTTTTTGCAGGCATGTTCAACCCCATGGCAAACTGTTACGAATTAAAATCAACAATTAATAAATGCAGATTTTTTTTTTACTGAAAGTGCAATGATACACATTAGATATTCTTATTATGTATGTACTAATACCAGTTTGTAAGAGAATGTCATAAGACCTTTAGTAAGTGTCAAATTATTCTTATGGATGAACTAAAATAGGCGTATGTTCAAAACTTAATATCTGAAGAGCATTTCTTGTAAACAGAAGTACCGTTTCTGTGGCAAATAGAGCTTTAACCAGCCCTTCTTGAAACAGAAGTTCCACAAGTTCTTTGACAATAGGAAGCAAGCCAGAATGGTGAACAGCAATGCCTCTCTGAAGCAATGGCAACATTTGTTCAATAGCAGGTAAGCATCTATCCTCCTCATTTAAGCAAAGGATTGCATTTTTGAACACTTGATCCACAACTTCCTTCTCCTCTTGGGTATTAAAATCAAGTTTAGACATTGACATGGCGTGTTCTTCACACTCTCTTCTACTAAAACTAAATATTATCACCGGTTGGAATTTACGCTCCATAATCATCTGAAATTCAGCAATTTTTCAATTTAGCGCTACGAAACAATGCAATTCTTACACCGCACACATTGTAAGAAGCAAAGAAGGTGTAAGAGAGAACATTAAATGACAAAGTAAATTAGTCACCAACGAAGATGGCTGCAAATTAACAGAGTCAAAGGTGAAATAACTTATTAGTAGATGATATTTTATAAATGCAGATATACGTAGACTACCAGTAGAAATAAAATGGAAAGTGACAGGTCGATATCCACCTTAACGATTTTGTATATTTGAGAACCACCAGAAGCGGTCCCACCTGTCACAATTCTCGCTCTGCCATTTCCACTCTTGTTGCCATCTGCCAGATTTTGCTTAATGAAAGTGTCCTGAAGTTTCAAAAAATTATCCTCCCTGAACTGTTCATTCTCATCAACAACAAGATACAGACCAGAGCCTCCAACGGGAAAAACATAATGTTGCAGGGGTGTCGGCCGGAAATCTGTATAAACCACGTGACATGGCTGTTTGTGTATATTACATATCCATTCTGCAAATTCTGTAGCATTGGACATTGTTGCTGAAAGGAAAACCATCTTAATAGCTGGGGGCAAGAAAATGATACTTTCTTCCCAAACAACACCTCTTTCACGATCTTTCATGTAATGTATCTCATCAAATATGACCCAAGCAACTTCCTTCAACACCTCAGAACCACTATAAAGCATTCCCCTAAGAATTTCAGTTGTCAACACCAAACAACTTGCGTTGGGCGAAATTGTTACATCACCTGTCATCAACCCTACATCAGAAAACTCCTGGCTCAACTCTCTGTACTTCTGATTGCTCAAAGCTTTTAATGGAGAAGTATACAAAACCCTCTGCTTATCCCTAAAGGCCATGGCAATCGCATATTCAGCCACTGCAGTTTTGCCAGCTGAAGTGTGTGCCGAAACCAAAACCGACTCGTTTCTTTCCAAACATGCTACAGAAACTTCTTGAAATGGATCGAGCTTGAATGGGTAGGTTTTTGCCCTTTCCCCATTAAAGATGGGATCTGAGAGTGTCCCATGAACTGATTCATCATTATTTGCAGAATACCTCCTCGGAACTGCTTCCTCATGCACACCTGTCCGAGATAAAGTACGCTTCTTCGACGAGGATTCTTGAGCGAATCCTTATTTGCAGAATACCTACTCGGAACTGCTACCTCATGCACACATGTCCGTGATAAAGTACGCTTCTTCGACGAGGATTCTTGAGCGGGAACTTCTTCCTTGCCCTCCGAATTCTCTGCCGGTTGTTTCCTTTTCATGTGTGAGGGAGACTCATTCATTTCTCACTCCCTATAGTCTGAATTTCCACCTTCAAATCCCTAAATTTTAGTACTATCGGTTTATACAGACACACTCCCCAATCTGCCAGAAAAATAACCAGAAAAGATAAGATTGATTTATTTATTTTTTGTTGAGAACCAAACAGCACATTCGCCTCCTTTTAATATTATACCATTTCAGCTCATGCAAGTGCAGGTGCTGTGCTTGTGTGCATGTACAATGTCCCATATATATTAACATCTATGCAACTCAATAATTCAACTTAATTACACTCACAGAAAAAAGAGACTTTCTTTTGGGTCTATATATTCATATGATACCATGAGCAGGGGCGGAGGCACCTGTTGCCTCCACTGGATTTTGGCCCTGGGTATCTCACTGATTACACTTCTAAAGGCGAGGAGAATACCATAAACAACCGTATTAAAAATTCAAGAGAGGTTGCATAAGGAAGAATACCATCAAGAAAAAAATTTGAAAACAGAACTATCTATTAAAATAAAAATAAATATAAGGAGCTAGAAGCCCAATAGATATAAAGCAAACAAATCTCATATTAAAATTTTCAAAAACAAAAAAAAAATTGATATTACTTTCCGAATTTGGTGATGAAGATGAATTGTCCTCTGCAGAAATTACAAGAAGTCAGCGACGCAACACAAAAGTGGTGTCAAGAGGGTTTTTTGCCTACGTACTTCACAGTAATTGTTCACAATGCTACACTACAGAAGCCACCATAGCCGTTTCTACCTTTCCTGCGCCCATCGATTTAAAGTTAGAAGAAGAAGAAACATGCACGTTATTTTGATTGGGCTTTTAATAGCTTTATTTAGAGCGTATTTAAGAGAGTTTTGTAAAAGGAAACATAATTTTTTTTGCTGAAAATAGAGAAAAGTTAAAAAGGAAAAATATTTTTTTGGTGAAAAGTAGAAAAAGTTTAAGAGAGAAAATATTTTTTTTATGTCAAAATAGAGAAATTTTTTGGACCCATAAAATATGTAATTAAATTTTTTTTTCTATCACAATTTTTATTCTCAATTAATAGTTCCCATGAATAAATAAAATTATATTTATCATGTCGAAAAATTTAAAACCAAAACAACGTCCACCATCATCGAGTTCTTTTGACCATTTTAAAAAAGACAATGTAAATTAATGCACGTCTTTCTATCAAATATTGTATCAAGGACCCGAAGATAAACGTAAATCGATAATCATTCAAATTTGTAAAAAGATCATATGAAATGGAAGTGTAATATATTTCTCATTTTCTTAAAGTATTTAAGTTTTTCACCACATAGCTATAAACAGCAGTTTAGTTCGATTGATATCTTGTCCCAATCTCTTGGTTTACTTCTGTATGCTGAAATAATTATTGGAATTAATTCTTAACTTTGCCATTTTTAATTAGTAGAAACAAAAATTAGCCTATTTTTTTATTGTTTAATTTCAAGTTTTGATTTTTGACCTATTAGCAAGAAGAATTTTAGCCCTTTTCCCTTTAAAATTCCATTTTTGTATGACTTACGTGGTGTATTTGTTTTTCAATAGTTTTAAAGGAATCTTGCTACAAGTACAGAATAATTATACAGAATTTTTAAAATGGAGGGAATAGATTCAAAGATGGGAAGAGAGAAAATACACAACTTAGGTATTTTTTTAGACTTGTCCTCCAAATCAACTTCAGGTGCGAGCGAATATATGACATCTCTGTAGAAATTTTGTTGGGAAAGATTAAACAATACAATTCACAAGAATTTAACTTCTTTCTCAGAATAACAATTTGGCAATTTATATAATTACGTCCAGTCTTATGATTATCATCATGTTAATAAATATGCAGGACATTCCATATCGAATACTTCATGGGATGGCATTGCAGAGAACAGGATACGTCCCTTTTTTTCCCCATAAAAATCTCAACAGCAGCCATCTGCGAAATCTCATCAGCCTAAAATGCGACTTGGGTACGCGTTCAAGTGTGGAGAAAAGAAGATTCATGGCGAGAGTTGACATCTGACAAGGTACTTGGTGTTTATTAATAAGGAAATCCTCAGAAAAGATTATGAGTCAAGCCAAAAAAATTGGAATTTTTGATCCATAATTAAGGTTGTATAGAGTTGGATTGATTAATTTGTTGGTACTCGTTTCTAATTTTCCACAAACAGTTAAAAAATGTCTTGAGGCAACTAATATAAAAGACCAGAATTTTATTCCAATAGATTTGAGAGTATATTCTAAATTAAAGATTCATTTCTCACCACAAAGATTCAGTTCAATAAATAAATTATCATTAATATATCTTTGAACATAGAGATATAATAGTACAACTAATATAAAAGATGTAACATAGTACTACAATTTACAATTTCTAAAATTTTCAACACTATCCAGTCAACCGAACAAGATGTGAAAATTTACCTATCTTCAGCTAAAGGTTTGTGAACTCACTCTTTCAAGGAGATTTCATCCACTCAGAAACTACGAACAAACAAACAGATTCCAAGCTCTTGGCTTCTGCAGCTCTCTTTGCAGCGAAGAATTTTCTAATATAGTACCGAAAGAAAGAAAATATTTGTCAGGTTCGACGTTTAATAACTCGATCCTGATGGCTGCTTTGTTGCTTTGTAAGAAAACACAGCACGGAAATGGCAAAATTTTAAACTAGAAAGCAACTTCTATGGATATCAACAGAGCTTCCAAAGCGGAAGAAGAATTGCTAAAAACTAACGCAAAGGAGCTAATTTACACCATTATCAGAGCTGCTACAAGCTTGATTCTGAAGAACACTGTTCCCAAAATCTCCATCCAAGCTCATTTGTTGGACTTCCTGAGGAGAAAGGATCTTGATGCACCGAACACAGTTCACAAATTCCCTGTATGCAACAAGTGAACACGTAAATATACAAATCAATGGGATTGTAAGACCAAATGGAAATGCAATACAGATTTGTGTTTGACAACTCACTCCCAAGGATCGTCCCCAACTAACAGGACATCATTCTCATGATCCACGTAAACAAGTTTTAAACCAATTCTTTGTTGGTCCTCCAATTGTCCTTCTATACCAAATCTACGAGCTAGATCTTGTTTAAGCTCTTCATATCCCGAGTAACGTGTTATATCTATTGATCTTCCTACGGCTCCGCGCTTGTATACCTTCAATAACACTCTCGGCAACTCAGACCAAAGAAAATGAATCAAAAGATAACACGCGGAAAACAAATTCATGCTTTTGCATAAAAAAATAACCTTTGTATATGTTCGTATCCGAGGCATCTGTGCTGGAGCCCAAGCACCTCCATTCATGAAGCTGCTGTCATTTATCATGGAATCGTTTGAATTGAATGTCATATCGGGAACTCCAAATGACTGGGCAACCACTGCCGATGAGAGTTCGGGTTGAGTTTCCTTGGGGTTAACAAAGCTGGAAAGCATGTCTCCTCCTGATGTGACACCATTCGAGAAGCCATTACCTGATCCTGCCATCCCTTTTGCGATCAATGGATCTGGCATCATGGGGATCCCTAACTGGCTATTGATGTTGGCCCCTAGAGGAACATTGTTCCTCGGATCACCCTGAACTTCCTTGTCCTGACTTGCATCCCTAAACAGCATCGACTGAGAATTGAATGACATTGAGTTGTTTTGCTGTAGATGGACGTCATTTTGAGAGAGGACTGATGTAGCTGAAGATGAACTATCAAAATAATCAAGCTGGGTTCCAGCAGCATTGAGGTATGGCTGTGATGCTAAAAATCCCTGGTTCTGACTTTTGGATATGTTCAATGAAGACACAATATTGGGTTTTTGCTGCAAATCATTAACCATGTTACCATTGGAAGAGATTGGCTCTAAATTAATACTAGAATTCAACAGACCAGCAGAAGAATGAGCTATCTCGTCCCCCAGGGTTATACTTTGATGATTTCTACCAGTCATTATGGACTGAACTGCACTTGAACAGTTGTTTGTGGATGGCGAAGTGGAACAAGATGGAACTTCATCGGTCACTACAGATAGGCAATTGATTGTTCCACCAGTCGACAGTTGACTGTTCATCGCGTTTAAGTCGCTCCCAATTTGTCCAGGCAATTCCGACAGTATGCCAGATTGTTGTAGTAGTTTCAGTTGCTGAGGTGGATGCGCAAACCGAAGATTAGTTTGACTATTACTTGTCATCTGCTGGGGTATAACATGTGATTGAGGGACGGAAGTGGACGTTTCTTGAGATGCATCCAGCATTTGGCTGGTTGACATAGACCTAGAGAAGTTCTGAGAAACGTCAGAAAGCTGCTTCTGCTGATCCTGGAATTGTGTTAGTTGGGACGGCTGTTGCATTGAAGATTTCTGTGCTAGAAGTGATTGTTGGTGCTGATGAAGCTTCTGTAGAAGTTGAATCTGAATTTGGTTCTCAGGCACATGCAACTGTTGGCTTATATGATCCGAAGTCTGGGTCGACATGAAATTCTGCTGCTGATTGTGGCTTAGAATCTGCTGCTGGTTAAGATTTTGAGGAAGATTTATCTGAAGCTGATGGTTTACAAGAGCTTGGGAAGGACTCTGCATATGCAAAAGTTGGGCCTGAACTTGGCTTGTAGGTAAAGTTTGATTGATTACATTTTGTCTAGGTGGCTGTGCAATGTCCGTCAACAGTTGTTGTGGCTGTATAATGGAGTCTAATGGGTTCAATGTGGAGGCCGGCAGCTTTTGGAGCTGATCTAGTTGCTGTACAGGTTGGGACGCCCTTTGAGTGTTGAACTGTAAGTTATTTGGCTGAGAGAGTGATGCCGGCAAAGCTAACTGACGTGAAAGATCTGCACCAGGAAGGTTTTGCATAACAGACCCCGGTAAGGGATTCAAGTAGTTTGGCTGCATTGAGTTAGCCAGGGAAGCATTTTGCTGCATGTTCATCCATTGGACTAAGCTCAGGCCAGGCACAGCTTGGGGATCCTTCATCCCATAGTCATCCCCAATCCATGGCATTGATCTTCTGATCAGATTATCTAGATCTGAAGATTCATCATCTGCAATGAGAAACATTAATCTATATTCGAAAACAACAGATAAGAAATAAAAGTATTTTTAAGTGTGCATGTTTCGCATAGCTCATAACGGCTTATAAGCTGGTAGGATCTACGTCTTATAATCTACAAAAAGCCTTTCCAAACATGCTCTAGGGCTGGAGAATTATCTCTGATCCTGTTTTACCTGACATTCCTAGTTGCCTCGGGCGCTTAGAACGAAAGAAAGGTGTAGTAGGGCAAATAAAAAATGGAGCCATTACAGGTTCAATCTCCCAAATGGAGACACGATTACGCTTTTCCCCTGCAGTTGACTCGTCCCAGCCGACCTGCTCATAAATATGAAGTGGTTATTGGTTGAGTTATTGACTTGAAACACTCGCAAGAATAATATAAAGAAAAAGGGAGCATATTTAACAAACCTGCAAATTACGCCATTGGGAGTTCTTCCATCTCAGAGGATCCAGGTCACTAATACCAGTTATTGTACCCATATATCTGAAGAAATTGCGATCAATCAGTTTAAGACAAATGGCATGATGATAATCCAAAAAATTTGATTTTCATAATTTCCGGAACATGTATAAATAGAATATAAACTTATTGAAGGTCAAGTCGTACCTTCTTGTGCCCGAATCTTCAGTTTCAAACATCATGCGAAAGCGCATGCCAAGCGATATTTGGTTACTGCAAACCGCTCTGTAGTACTTGGCTAACGGGATAACAAATTCAGAAGGACTGGCCCTGTTCCAAATTCGAAAATATCCTCAGAAACCTTCGAATAAATAAAAAATTCAACAAATGTTCCTAAAAGATTGTTTTGGAACAAGCATAGCATACAAGTAAAGAAAATTCAATAATGACCTTGGATTGTAAAACACAGTGAAAGGGCTATTGTTCGCAGCAGCGTGGGCAGCTGCCGCTAAAATTCCAATATGCATACTATCACTTGATAGCACGGACGATGATAAGTTGGTTGGTTGTCTGTTAGCCCGTCTTATGCCCAAAAGAAGCTGTTGCTTTTCGTCCCTATTCACAAGAAAAAGTTCAGTGCTAAGATAGGTGATAGGATGTCATTCAATGAGCAAAGGTCGAGCTTACATAATATTCACAATTTAAGGAAAGAGAAAACAAAAATTTCCCAAAACTTACGTCATTACCTAATAAATAAGACTGAGTCACCTGCAAACAATCTCTTTCCACTGACAAAAAGGCTCCATCCAGTCGTTAGCAAGTGGCGCTTTGGTTGTCCTGAGATGGGAATTTAAATTGTGAAAAGTTAAAAGAAGCAACTAAAAAGTAAAAAGCTACGAGGAGTAATTATTATTGCAGCCCCCGTCATTTAATTCCATAGATATGTTCAATTTTAATAGTTAATATACTCTTAGTTTACTCAAAAATAAAAACATCTAAAGAGAGTTTACCTCGATAAATATGACGAAATGTCCATAAATTTTCGTGCAAATCTCTCACCACAAGCTCTTGAGCAGGTGGTTGCGTTGTGAAGTCCTAAATTAGATAACAATTCTCTCAGCAGAAGACATAATACGAACATCGACAAAAATTTGCGAGGTGGGAATGGGGCAGCAGCCCTCAACACAGTGATCGCCTAACGTACCAGAGGAGGGAAAATCTTTTCTGCAGCACGGCGAGGTACAGAAAAACCGCCATGAGTGCTTGTATCACTTGCAGTCAAGGTTTTACAGAAAAATTCTGTTTGTGGTTTATTTGCTTTTATCAATAGATCTGATCTCAATAATGCATCCTTATCAAACTGCATATTAAATGTGCATAGTCAGTTTTTTATTATCAAACACAAGGATAAGAATATACTTCAAATATGGCTAAAACATACCGAAGGAACTGGCTGGAGCGTCATCTGGGCATATACTTCGTCTGTTTCTGGATCAGCCTAAAAGATACCGGGAAATCATCACTGTTACTACTGACATGGAAAATATATTAAAAGTTTCATGTTCTCTAGGAGAAAGTCAAGCTGGCATACGTGTAGAGTAATATTGTGAAGGAAGCATAGTAGCTTTGAGGGAAGATTTGTGTAGTTCGGGATTTGTCCATCAATATCCTTTTTCATGGATGCTGCAACCTGAAATTCGAAATCCAAGAACAAGAATTAAGTTAAAGATCAAATAGAATCTGTTACTACAATCAGTTGAAGAAAGTTTCAGCTTTTCTTAATCATCTCAAAAAACAGAAACCTCCTCTATCCTACCACATCCAAATTCAAGAAGTGGTGAATATCAAAGACAGATTAATCAACACGACCATATCACTCTCTGAAAAAAGTCAGACAATAAACTTTCCACCGTACAAATACGAAGGATAAAATTGATTATGATAGAATGTTCCGTTGATTTTACGCCATATTTCAGCGGACGGGACATGATACGTGACGAATTTTGATAGTTGTTTGGTGAAATCCACTGAACCCAACATACCAGTTCAGACTACTTTCTCTTTAATTTTTTATTTTATTTTAGGGGCACTAATGATATAACTAACAAGGACATAAAATCAAAACTAACTACACAATATAAGCAATTAAATATGTTAAGAAATATAGGATTAAATATATGGCTATTTCATTTTATTGTTTATTAAGGGTAGAATAGTCTTTGCAATTTCTTTTGTTTAGCCTATATATAGTCTCTTTATTTCTAGATTAATTTATTCTTTTGTATTCAATTGCATTATGCAGAATTAATGAAACCCTAGCCTCATGTTACTTTTCTTTATTTCTTTGGATTGTTTAACAAAATATACAAAAAATTCCCAATCCACCAACCCACCCAGAGATATCAGCACCAAGCGCATGTTAGCATTGTCCAATATTATTGTCCTTTTCATTTCCTCTTTTCTTTCCTTTTAACCCTGAATAATGACATCCATCATCTCACCGGCAGTGTTCAACACAGGTCTAAGTGGCACGGGAGCCCACACCCCACAACTTGAGGAGAGTGAACTCCACTGAAAAATAACTAGCATTACTCTTTCCAACCATGCTACTTGTACTGGGCATGGTTGACAAAAATGGGTGACCAACACACATAATTGAGGGGTCCACTTTATTTTTGGAATTTTTTATTCAAGTGGGACCCACGCTTGATGTGAGAGATTGTCAACCACCCCTGTCAAACCTGACCTGTACAAATGGAAACACTGTACTCTTTAACTTTGGTTAAAATCCAACTCAATTTCAAACTGTACCCACTTTGATTTTCTCACCTCACACGATCCAATTTTTTAATCCAATTAACAGCGCACGATAGCAAGGATGATGCACCCCCATAGAAATATTCAGATATACATACAAAGATAATGATGACAACAATGGAATCCATACATATGAACATACACAAAGTCAGGAAAAACTGACACACAAGGTGAAGGTAAATCATATGCCACCACACCGGCGCACATTAGCAACCGTCGGGTTAAGTAGAAGAACCTGTTCACTATGGCCTTGAGGGAAGTAAACGACGTGGGTCCCAGCCGCAGGCAGGTTTACCAGAGGCCCAGCGCAAGCTTGCCATAGCTCTTGATTTACGCTCTTCTTCTGTTCGCCTGATAAAATTTCCCGAATCAATCGAAATAAATAGCTAAAAATTAAGCATTCAGAGGTTCTTAATTGTTTAAAAGAACTTGAGAAAAAGAACCAAAAAGTACGTTAGAATCTTCGATGTTTACAAGGGTTTGTATGTGAAATCAAGAAAATGCATATACATACAACATATATACAGATATAAAGTAGCTAAATAGTGACCTTCAGATGGGTTCGCCGGTTGAGCTCCGGCGCTGGTGGCCTTCATTCTTCTTTCGATTCACCCGCCGGAAACTTTATCTAGTTTTCACCGCAGCTTCATATCGCCGGAGAAAAATCAAAGCTTCGATAGATAGCCAACAAATTAAAAAAACCCAAAATTTGATTCTCAAAACTGGATGAAAAGGAGCTAAGAAACGAACTTTTATTCTTCAAAACCTAAAAGGAAAATACTTTAGAGATAGAACCAGGAAAAGGAGAGACGCCGGTAAGTAAAATTCCGGCGACAACGGAAGCTCCGGCGGTGGTTTTAGAGAGAGAAAATGAATTTAAGCTGAGGAGACAAGAGGAGCTTTGAAAAGGGAGTAGATGTTGAGTATAGCACAGACCAGATACTGCAGTTTTACTTTTAATTGCCCCCTTTTCACCTTTTTCTTGCATTATAATCTGGTTTTGTCGTATGTATGGATACATCTCCATCTCTCTGTCTGCAATGTTTGACCTTTATGTAAGAACTAAGAATTGATTTTGTGGTAAAAATCGGAAGAAAGTGGAAATAATTACTTTATAATTATAAGTCGGATGTTTACGTCGTCATGTGCGGTTACCTTTTGTCATAATCTCGAAGCCTATAGTATTCTTAATGTCACCTTCTATTAATTTCATATTCATATTTAAATTGAACAATTAATATTTAAAATTTTCTTTTTTTTTTTTGTGAGCTTTAATAATCATTTCTAAACTATTACCTCATCAACTAACTAATCAGACGCAAGTGCCTTATCAGATGAATTTCTCATTTTCGCTCCTACGACATTGGCAACCCTTTTGAGCCCTCGTTTGATCCTCATTTTTCTAAAATGAATTTTTCTCTATTCTTTTCAACCACATGTTTTCAATAAAATAATATTACACGTAAATTCAAAATTTTTCCTTATTTTGTAAATACACATTTTCCATTAATCTAATATTCCAAAATGTATTCTACAAAAAAAATTGGGATCAGACCGTGCCTGAACTTGACCTAAAATTTTAGGGTAATGCCCAATCAAAGATGTATCTACTCAATGGTGAATAGTTCAAGCAAAAAATAGTAGTTATAGAATACAAACTAGTCGATGAGGAAGTACGTCGGCCAAGTAGTCTCGTTCTCGGTCCATAGACGGTAAAAGATGATTAGTTAATACAAATTTCTATAAGAAAATAGTAGAAAAAATTTTGAAATTGGGGAAGTAGAAGTGCACCATGGTCTTGAACATATAATGACCAATCATAATCTGTCTATTCATTGACACTATTACCCTCATTAATCACGACAAGGACTAGAGAGTTGCCCAAATATTTTTGGTGATTGTATTTGTGTGAATTACTTTGTAGGGGGTCCGGTTTGTAATTAAGGTGACGGTTGGACCAGTTAATATTTCATAACAACTTAATAAAAATGCAAAATATAACTATGTTGATTTCGTAAAACATATTTGAAACTTTAAACGAGATATAATAGAATAAGATTATGCAAGACAGATACTTAAACTTGTGTGGTGGCAGATGTTGCCAATTAGATCAAGGTAATGGATTGTTATGGCTTTATCGTTCTTCGGTTGATGCCATACAGATTCCAAATTCAATACTGTAATTATATTTTCTCCTAGAGTCATGCTATGTGTACATAGAGGTACGCATAGGGGTTCACATAATGTGAGTGGGGTGGAGCCCACGATACTGTATTGTGGGCTCCACCCCACTCACATTATGTGAATCTCTATGTGTACATCTATGTACACATGGATTAATCCATTTGATATTTGCATAGAAAAAGTGTTCATCATTTTGTTCAGTTTAGTATAGCACATGCATCCATAAAAGACCAACAATTATAGAAGGGTGTTTTAAGAAAGTATGACATATCAACCACGTAAAGAGACGTGCAATTGAACAGATCAAACAAGTACAAAATCTAGGAGTTGAGGAATACATGGAGTTCTATGTAATTAAATAAGAAAATGAAAATTTTCGTCATAAGGGTTTCTTCGAATTCAACATACATTGGTCCTCGACTATAGAGAAACGAGATGACTACTATGCTAAGAGTTAAAGAGTTACTATTCGTATCGATTGACATACAATATGTAATTTGGGTTTAAGTGTGAAGTGACAAATATATACATGATTTTGGTGGTGGTCCTAAACCTAGTTTGTTCATGACAAGTATCTTTCTAAGCATCTATATTCTTGGAATATTAATTTATCTGAGTATACACCAATAACTTTTGGTTTTTCCAATTGGCTAAATAAATGGGAAAAAGAGTAAGAAAGAGAACAGAAGAATAAAATTAAATGAAGGGTGAAATTAAATGATGACTAGACTGTATTTGTAACCCCACTTAGGATGAATAACATTACTCTTAAAAAAAGGGAAAAACTCTTCCCTGAATATTATTGGTTGCATATTAAACATATAATAATTAATTCTTATACCTTGACGGATGTCAAATTATTCATTATTAATTTCCGTCATATTCCTATATAAATATATTAACTACCTCTAGTCATCGTCGTCTCACAAAAATAACAAGAAGAAAAAGAAAAACAATAAAAAGAAGAAAAATAGTAGTCACCTACTTTAGCTAGGTTCATCCATGGAGAATTTAAGACTAGGACAGGTTCAATGGCAGGTAAAGGATTGAATTATTAATATATTTCTTCATTAATTAAATAGCATAGTATATCTACATACAAACTATTACATTAGGGTAACAAATAATTTAATAGTAGCTAGTCAAATAATGATAACTTAGATTAAAACCTTTATAATTTTTTGAACATGATAGCTGTAAACATTAATTGATTATTTAATTTCCAATTCTTTGCCTTTATCGATTATATACTTAAGTTATTTATTTTCTCACAATTAATTTTCAAACTATTGTTTTATTTTTCTATTAGTACATTGAGTGCCCCACTCTAAAATAAAGTCAAGTGCTAACATAAAATTCTTGACTTTTTTTGTTGTGAAAATCGATTTAAGATTATGTAATTACATATAAAAGGCGAAAGAGATTGTGAAAATCTTCTCGACCATGAAATTATCAAAATGGTCATTCTCATTTGGATGCATTATCGATCATTCGATCAAGCAGACTGTTAAGGATTATGAGTCCATACTTGATTTTGAGATCGTCTTATGTCAAAAAATTTGGTGAAAGCCTCGCATATGGAGGTTCAAAGGACCGAATGAGTCCTATCTAGGCCTATGAGTCTATGACCAAGCTGTGGCTTAAGAATTTTGTCGGCATCTTTATTTTCTATTATTGTCTCGTATATGAGGTTCTTGTGAAAAACTCCCATGACAAGATTAATAGGAGCCTAACGAGTCTTACCCGGACTTAGTGGATGGCCTCAACTTAAATTTTGATGAATTTTAAATTTTTTTCTAAATTTAAGTGTCCTCAATTGAAATTTTAATGAATTTTTATGAAATCCTTTAAAATATAGGTATCTATTTCAAACTTAAAAATATGTATAACAAACACTTTTAAAATTCCACAAATTTTAATGAGATTCTTGTAGATATTATGGAAATTTATTAGAATTTATAATCTTTTAAAATCCGTCCAAATTTAAGTTATGGACACCCCTCTTATTACGAGGTTAAGGACTTTTTATAAAATAGTATGAACTGACATATAAGTCAAATTCACATGTCAATAATGTTAATAATTATGTAAAAATTTTATCTCCTATTCTAGAGGGATATGGTACATTTACCTCTATTATGATTCTAATAAATTGAGTTCAATAATTCAAAAATGGAAGGTTCGAGTCTAAGTTAGTAAAGGAATATATCCATTAGCCTACAAACCACATTACTCTAGATAAATAGCTTGCATCTCATAGGCCAACCACAATCGATGGACCCGTTGGACCTATGTGTATAATCTCTCAGCATACCATCTCATATTCGCAACAGAAGCACGTCTAAGTTAGTAAAGGAGTATGGCTGTTGGCCTGCGGACCACAATGCTCGAGACATATAGCTTGAGCTTCAAGGTCGACCATAAATGTTGGACCTATGAGTAAGATCTTTCACAAACACGTGATCATCGCATACTAGCATTAGAAGAATTCTAACGATATCATCTACTGCAAGCAAAGGTGTTCATTATGACTCAACCATGTGATTGACCTGCTTGTCCTAGAGGGCATCTATGGTGGAGTTGAGCTATGATTAAACCAATTAAAGAGAAATACAATTCAAGTAGCACTATGTAGCAGGTATATTTCATATATTTAACACACGTTATCCACTTTGTCATTTTCTTTCTTTGATAACTTAGTATCGAAAGAGTTAGATGAGTTAACTATGAAATCATGCATTCTGATTTATCCACTCAATATATTTATATTTGAAAATACTTAAACAATTACGAGAAAAGATAAATGTTTAGATCTACCTTATTTTTATTTTCTTACATTATGAGGTCATACTTAGCGGTAAGATTGTGTCATATCCATGTAGCACCTAGTTATTATTATTATTTTTTTAATAAGAACTTGTCATTAATCAAACGGATAAACCGATTACAGACGAAACAAGCCAAATAGCTTGAGACAAAGTCTGGAATACTATCTAGGACACGACAAAGTTACAACTGTGGCTTATCAATACAGGAAAACCCAACTACAAGTCACCTAACGCAATTATAGCACCTAGTTAATAAAGCCTTATTCTTAGAATTGACATCAATTTGTTGTCTTATCACATCTACCCCATTTTCTAGAAAATTCAAATTAAATAATAACAAAGAACATGGTTTGGGTAAATAATATGTATGATATAGTAAAACTTAAAATATTAGCATAATCTCTTTTCAAATGTGAACATGGACTTGCGTTGGCTAATGTTTTCTTGGGATCTCCCATGCAGTAAAATAAAGTAGCTTCTAATTTATTCATCACCATGTGCATGTCTGAATCCAAGACATTTAAAAATATTCTCTTTAATTATCATATAATATTCATATATTTTGCAAATTTGAAACTTTCTTG